AGCGGGGTGAGAATAGCGCAGGCGCGCCTTTTGGCTATTCTCACCCGGTGTGCGTTCACTGTGATAGCCTTGGCCAGCTTGAGCTAGGTGCACGGTAACTGCGTCGCTCCCTTCATGACTTTGACCTTTTTCCTTTTTCACTCCACTTTTTGTGTGTTGTGAGCGGAATGTAAATCCAAAAATGACCCCAATCTACCCCCTGTCATCTTTCCTTAGAAGGGAGAGCAAAATGAAGTGACACTGAAAATCTGCGAATCTAGAACAGAAAGCTAAAATATAGATGTACAAAACATGTAATACTATCACAAGAAAGAGAGAACAAGACTCAGAAAACAGAGAGGAAAACAGAGAGGGAGAAGGAGAGGGACAGGAAGGAAGAGAGAGAGAGAGAGAGAATTTAAAAAGTATGCTCTTGATGAGGTCATACCTCTCTTAAAACAAAGGACAATGAAACAAGGGGATCCTTGACTATCACCCATCCAATGAATCGCGGACCTTTTGGTTAAAAAAACGCGGCTTACTAGGTATGAGTGACGGATCCCAATTCCGTACAGGGCTTCCACCAATGCACGCTTTCCGTAGCAGGAAGCTCTAATAATAGATATAATCAAAATACTAAATACTAAAACTTGCTTCCAAGTTCAGTTTTTGTCATCCGATGTTGCCTTCAACCCCACCCCTCCCCCCGACTGTACCTTTTAAAAAAATCAATAATCCCCTATTCCGGAGCCCTATACTTCGCGCAGAGCACACGTTGAATGAATTTTGGTGACCCCATGCGATCACTGGTACTCACATTACTCACAATGTGATGCAAAAGTACAGGTTCACTGACCGGTCACGATGTCGAGCCCGACAAGACGCGTGTATAACTTTCTTTTTTTCCATAAGTGAAAGCACAGGACAGTGATTCATTTTCCTGGCGACACAGCGTTTGTAATGCACAACCTGTATGTTACAAATGCTGCGTTAATCAGACTGGCTACCGGCAAATTTCTGGGTGGTAAAGAAAACGAGAGTAGAACGAGCTTCGGTACAACGCATATACACTTACGCTTGCCGCCAGAGCGCCCTGTTCATACCTAAAACTATCTTTTGTTTTCGAAAGAGTTAGCACTTGCAACAAAATAAGTTTATATAAGTGCCGAAGATTAGAGGTGTTAGTGTTACAAGAGAGTAACAAACACAAAAAGAAGGAAGAGAAAGATAAGGATGACAGATGTTTAATAGGAGAGAAGGAGCAGACCACCCCATAGACCCACCAACCACCCATTAACACTATCTTTACATCGCACAAAAATACATCTATGTATTTTTGTGCGATGTAAAGATAGAGAGGAAGAGAGAGAGAGAGGGGGGGGGGAGAGAGAGAGAGAGGGAGGGAGACACACACACACACACACACACACACACACACACATTATGCATATACACGTGTGATAGCCTCTAAATATATTTAATACTTAACATGTTACACACACACAAATCACACAACATACACATTGGATAAAACGATATGAGGATTGCTTTATCGGTTGAGTTTGTCAGAAATAGACTAGACTATGATTTTGTACATGTAGTTACATTATAAACAAAAATCTCCATAGCCTCACAACGATATTCTCTCTGTCTCTAAACACACATAAATCACACAAAATACTCATTGGATAAAACAATATGAAAGCTAAAAGAGCAAATAAAAAATGAACCACCCAGGACATATATTAATATTAAAACTAGAGAAGACAGTCAAATTCAAACATGGAAAAGTACATCTTTAGCTATGGTCAACACCCAAAGGCTATAGTATTTGGTCTAATGCTTGCTTTTCTGCACCAAAGGGTGTGACATCATAACATTTTGAAAACCAATTTCATCTTATTTAAATCACATGGGTCTCAACTCAGAATTCTAAAAAAGGAGGAACTTTCCGGATGATCGCCACAGAAGCCCATTTTCGTGAAACACCCATTATTATTATACTGTTGAACCCTAGAATGCTGAAATGAGAACCATCAATTTATCAAAGCAAGGTTATTTCACACCAATTTGAGGGTTTGGGAGATAATTTCAAGTAAGAGTCACGCACCAAATTTACAATCTTGATTACGTACAGAAAGTGGTGGCGCCTGGGGTCTTGTGCGACTTATTAATATTTTCCCTTCATCATATTCGCCTGTATATATAAACTATATATAAAAATAAATCTAGCTTTGAGCCCAGAACCAGAATATCGATGGTCATGATTCATATCATATAGATTCTAGGCCTATACTAAAATAAACGTGAAAGACAAAAATTAATGCTCTAACTCAAAGTACAGTAGAATAGCCCAAGTAGACCTATTCAGTGTGAGAGGTGTAAGAACTGTGGGAGGGCAAGAAGCAGTGATACTGAAAATCTGTGAATCTTGTACAGAAAGCTAAAATATACTGCCACCAATCCAATAAAACGCGAACACTTAGGCCATTTTCACACAAGTCCTGCACCCACGCACACTTTACTTAGCAGAGAGCTGTAGTAGTTATCAAAATTCTAAACATTAAACATATTTGCTTCCAGTTTCAGTCTTTTTTTGTCCACTGGTGTTGCGTCCAGCCCTCCCCCTATCCCCGAGTGCGTCTTTTAAAAAGAATCAATAATCTCCACCCCCCGCCCCCATTCCTGAGTCCCGTACTTCACAGCGCTTAGAACGCGCGCATGTTCATTGACCGGCCACAATGGCGAGCCCGACTAGACGCTTGTATAACTTTCCTTTCTTCATGTTGCCCCTATAAGTGACGGCACAGTGACAAATATTGGTTTACTTTCATGGCGACACCACGTTTGTAATGCCGAACCTGCATGTTATAATAATTGTTGCGTTATCAGACAATTACAGACAAATTTTCGGGTGGTAACGAAAGCGAAAGTAAAGGCTTACTAGACGCTCTTATGAAATTTAGTGGGTATCATGCTGGACTAAAGAGCGGTTGACTCTCGTGCGCCCTCTTCGAAAAAGCGCGAACTTTGCGAACAGAGTTTTAGAATCTACCCTACTTGTGTGAAAAACAATAAAAGTGACACTCTTTTTGGCTGAGTGAACTATCTCTTGAACCTTCCGGTTACCGTGTATGTAGACCCTGAGACTACGTGCCCGGTTACTGTGTACGTAGACCCTGAGGCTATGCGCCCAGTTACCATGTATGTAGACACTCCGTCTGGAATAATTATTGCTAGATCTAGTAGATCTAGATTCTAGATCTAGTACAGTACGGAGGAATTCATGTTTTGTTTTATTTTGGTAGCCTAAGTGTTTTATGTAGCCGTGCAGTGTGATGGACCACACAGGGAAGAAGTAGGGATGATCATCCAAAACCGTGCAAAAGACATTCAAGGGCTGGGAAGCGCACGGTCCAAGAATTGAAGTTGTCATGGCCTCATTTGGAACTAAAAAAGAACTCGAGGAAAGAGATGGTAGGAAGAAGGTCATAAACGTGAATATTATACAAGTGTATGCCCCAACCAATGATGCAAAAGTGGAGAATAAAGATGACTTTCACAACCACTTGCAGAGTGTGATCGACAAACTTCCAGGTAAGGACATCAACATTGTCATAGGAGACCTAAATGCAAAGGTAGGTTCTGACAATCGTCACTGTGAGGAAATCATGGGCAAACATGGATTAGGAGAGGCAAATCACATTAGAGAAAGATTTCAAAACTTCTGTGCATTTAACAACTTGATTATTGGAGGAACAATCTTCCCACACATAAAAGAATTCATAAGGCCACTCGGGTTTCTCCGGACGGAACAACGGAAGACCAGATTTATCAATATTGCATTTCCCAAAAGTTTAGATGCTCAGTGGAGGACGTCTGAGTCTTACAAGGAGCAAACGTCACATCAGACCGTCATTTGATCCTTGGAAAGATTAAATTGAAACTGAGAAGGTATGCACAAATCACAACTCTGAAAGTCGCCAAAAGTATGAAGTGAGCCTTCTGAAAGACCGAGTAAAGAAGAATGATTTCAAGTTCGAACTGAAGAACAGATTTCAAGCCCTTCAAGACCTGGATGACTGAAGTAAACGAACACTCATCATCATCATCAATGCCTTTCACTCCTGGCAGGGTATAGGCCACATACAAGCTCCTTCCATTTATTTCTATCCTGGGCCATCCTTCCTAGCTCATTCCAAGTGAGTAAACGAACACTGGGACAAGATAAAAGAGGCAGTAAATGCAACTTGCCGGAGCATCTTAGGACCCAAAGTCAACACCTGGAATGAATGGATTTCACAGGACTCTCAAGACAAAATCAAAAGAAGAAGAGAGCTGAAGGCCCAAGTCAACAACAGCCGTACCCGTTCTGAGAAACTCGCTGGACAACAAAAGTACACCGAAATAAACTGGGAGGTAAAGAATTCCATCAAGAAGGACAAGAATACCTACCTGAATAGCCTGGCCAAAAAGGCAGAGAAAGCAGCAACAGAAGGGCACTTTGGATTGTACATCAGACAACAAAGACTCTTTGAGGAAGGTTCAGCAAGCCCACTCTACCAGTGAAAGACAAAGAGGGAAAGACTATCTTCAACCCAAAGGGGCAACTGAACAGATGGAGAGAACACTTTGATCAACTATTGAACAGACCACCTCCAGAAAACCAACCAGAAATTCTTCCAGCCAGAAATGACCTCCCAATTGCTACGGAACCACCTCCGAGAGAGGAAATTGCTACAGCTATAGCAGCACTGAAGTCCCACAAAGCAGCGGGTCCTGACCATATACCACTGGAAGTCCTTAAGGCTGATAAAGATACATCAGTGGAAATTTTCTGTGCTCTATTCGAAAAAGGTTTGACAAGAAGAGGAAATACCATCAGACTGGAAGGAAGGCCTCCTAATCAAGCTGCCAAAGAAAGGAGACCTCAGCAATTGTAACAACTGCAGAGGCATACACTCCTGTCCATACCTGGAAAGTCTTTAACAGGATACTCCAGGAGAGAATTAAGCTGGCAACAGATGAGAAGCTCAGAGGAAACCAGGCAGGATTCCGCAAGAACCGATCATGTGTGGACCAGATCGCCACCCTGCGCATCATTGTTGAGCAATCGCTTGAATGGAATTCACCACTGGTGATCAACTTCATTGATTATGAAAAGGCATTTGACAGCATGGACAGGGAAACTCATGGGGCATTATGGAATACCTGACAAAATCGTCAAGCTTGTGAAGACCACCTATGATGGAACAAACTGCCAAGTCTTCCATGAAAGACAACTCTCAGAACCATTCCAGGTACAGACAGGAGTGCGACAAGGATGCTTGCTCTCACCTTTTCTCTTCATACTGGCAATTGACTGGATCATTAAGGAAGCCACCAGAGGCAAGCGCAATGGAATACAGTTGATCCCTTGGCAGCAGCTGGACGACTTGGACTTCATCGATGACCTTGCACTGCTCTCGTACACACATGCTCAGATGCAAGAAAAGACCAAGGAACTCAACAGCCTATCAAGGAGTGTTGGCCTACGTATACACTGGGGCAAGTCTTAAAGTAGTGAAGCTAGGAAAAATGTCAAGCCCTGCTGTGACAGTGGAAGACACTCCCCTAGAAGAAGTGGACTTCTTTACCTACCTTGGAAGTGTCATCAATGGTAAAGGTGGAACTGAAGCAGATGTAAAAGCAAGAACCGCCAAGGCAAGGTCAGTGTTCAAGCAATTATCAAAAGTCTGGAAAGCAAGCAACATCTCACTGCGCACCAAGATTCGACTCTTTAATTCCAATGTCAAGTCTGTGCTCCTCTACGGCTGCGAAACTTGGAAGACAACAAAGACAGTGCTGAATCAAGTCCAGACTTTCATCAACAGATGTATGAGGAGTATCCTAAGAATTAAGTGGCAGGATAGAATAAAAAATGAAGAGCTATGGTAAAGGACAGGACAAAAGGATATAGAAGTAGAAATAGGACTAAGATTTAAGAAAGTGACGTTGGATGGGACACACCTTCAGAAAGCCCAGCGGAAACATCACAAGACAGGCACTGAAATGGAACCCACAGGGAGCACGAGGCAGGGGTAGACCACGATAAATATGGAGGAGATGTTTGGAAAGGGACGTGAGAGAGATGAAGCTCACTTGGAACGAGCTAGGAAGGATGGCCCAGGACAGAGATAAATGGAAGGAGCTTGTATATTGGCCTGTACCCTGCCAGGGGTGAAAGGCACTGATGATAAAGTGTTTTATGGGGCTCGCAACTGCATAAATGTGAGCGCGCAGGGTACACCAAACATTTTCAGTTGGCAAATGAACCCTAGATTTCTACTCTTTTATCGATTTTGGACCACCAAGGGATCTTTAATGTGCACAACATGCAGACGGACCTCAGATATTTTTCACCCTTGTCCGAGAAGACTAGGGGTAGATCTTTCCTACCAAAGATCAGGGGTGTGGCTGAAAGACAGCAGTAAGAAGGAGCCACAGAGAAGCAGAAGAAAGACTGTATAGAAAGAGTCAGGAGTCCAGTGGAGGGTGCAAAGGAGGTGAGGGGTGGGGCCAGAAAGTTGAGGCGAAAGATGACAGAACATTGTTAGAGAGCAGGAGAGGGTGACAGGAGAAAATTTTTCATCGCTGTCCAGATTCGACCCCAGGACCTATTGAATGAGAGTCAAACACCTTCTAGGCCATGAGAGCCCCCCGAGGAATTCTGTAACGAGCAACCATTTTGAAACACAGTTGAGGTTGCTGTTAGACAAAAGTTGCTCTTCTAAATTGCTGTTAAGTGGGGGAAAAGGAACATTTTTAATTTTTTGCAAGCATTCTAGATCTAGAAGGAGAGAAAAACATTTAAAGAAGTTGTGACAAAAGGCTGTCCTGCTTGAATGTTACATAAAATTTTGATTGTAACAGGCAGTTAGTAAATCTTTAGAATTCTCTTTGTTTAAGATTGAAGACCAAGGAATTGTTATCGGAATGGTACTGCAGGAACACAAAGCAAAAAAAGACTACTAATGGAAAGAAAACTTGATTTTTATACGTAATTTTAAAAGAAAAAGTTTTATTATATTAGACATCACAGGTTTCTACTCAGTCTGTGCTTCTTGTCTTGAATTTTCTTTTTCTTTCTTTCTGAGAGGATTGAAATTGTATTTTAATAGTTGTCCACAGGAAACTTCACTTGCTTTATATATGTATGTTATGTAGGCCTAGATAGATACAAAAATCATGTTATTATATATTTGATTATATCCTAAGATTACTAAGCAGTATTTTAGTTTCTGTTTTAAAAAAAAAAGCAACATAATACTCTGTTTAAAAGTGTGTTTATATATTGGACATATTTTGAGAAATTTAATTATTGTCTCTGTATCTCTCAATTTTAGATGGCAAGCCCATGTTGCGGCAGGGAGACACCGGGGACTGGATCGGGACATTCGAAGGCCACAAAGGTGCTGTATGGGGAGCCACACTGAATAGTGATGCCACAAGAGCTGCCACTGGGGCTGCCGATTTTACTGCGTGAGTCCACACACGGTTGTACTTGTTGTAAATGTTTTACACCCGAGCCCTGCCACCAGAACCCAATTGGAGTTAGGTAATATATACTCGAACTCTGTCTGTCATGTCCTGCAGACACAAGACTCTATGAGATACATATTTGGAGAAAGGCAGGTGTATACTAGATTAAATATCTTCTTGGTCAGGACTGGTTCTCACATCGCTAGGAGGGGAGTACCAATGCATCACAAATGCCAGTCTATTATTATTTTTCGTACAAAAAGGGAAATGTTATCGAGTAAAAACAGAAAATATTTTTAAACACATAAATTTATTAGTGAATGATACCAAAGGTAAGTAGTTAACTCGTTTTCTGTGTAGTTTTAGTTTTCTAACCTCTTGGATGAAATTCTTTCTTCCTTGTGCAATCAGGCACCTGTACAACAAGCATTTAGTTTAATCCTCTTGTTATATGTTAAGCAAAGTATATTATGTTTTATTTAAATTGAAATTAAATTTAAAGGGGACTTTGAAAAGGCTGAATATTTTCAGTTCAAATCATGAATATTACTTTTTAAATTATGGACTGGAACAGTTCAAGTGTTTATGGAGGCAATATATAATCAAGCTGATTTTATATAAAATATGGCTCCTTTTAGTGACAAGGAAAATGCTGAGCTAATCAGTCAGTTTGTCTTAGTGCAATTTTTAATATATTATAAGTTCTGCTCGTCTAAAAAGCCAAAGCTTACTGTCTTGGAATAAGGTTCTTTTTATCATCCTCCAGTGCCAGATCTGCGACAGACATTGGCGGTCATAGTTCTCCATTCATTCCTTTGTTTGGATGCTCTTAAAAAAGCTAGGTTTTCCTTATCTTTCCCCGTTACCCATTTGTTTAGGTTCCCTAAGTAGGTTGCTCTGGGCCTACCCCTGCCTCATTTGCCTTCAATTTTGCCAGTGAGAGCTTGATGTTCAAGACCTTTATGTCTATTCAAGTGTCCCAAAAACTGCATTTGTAGTTTCTTGATGGTTTTTAACAGTGAGCGTCCCAAGCTTCGTCAAGCACTGCCTCATTTGATTTCTTTTCCTTCCAGGATATTCTCAGCAGTCTCCTAAGTAACCACATGTATATTTCTGTTGCTTCTTTTTATTTTCACTGTCTCTAGTCTAGTGATTGTCCAGCATTCACAGCCACATAGAAGGGTTGACCGTACATAGCATTTTCAGAACTTTCATTTTAGTAGTCTTTTGGATCATGTTTCTATTTTTCAGGATTGGGCTCATTATATTGAAACAAGCCTTAGCCATTGCAATTCTCCATTTTATTTCTGTGGAACATTTGGCATCAGATATTATTATCATAGATATTTCTTTTTATAGTCCTACATAATATGCACTCACTGAACATAAAAAAACAACAAGTTATGTTCTATGTGTTGTGCCGTTATCCAAATATGTACATGCAAAGAAAGAGAGACATTGTGTTATTTCACATTTCTGCCTCCCGCCTTTGTCCTTAAAATGAGTGAAAGTTGGTGGTCTGCTATATGAATATATATATCTTACTCTCTCTCTCTCTCTCTCTCTCTCTCTCTCTCTCTCTCTCTCTCTCTCTCTCTCTCACACGCACATGCACACACACACACACACACACACACACACACACACACATGTGATCTTCGTTATTGTGTTTCAGTAAAGTATGGGATGCGGAGAAAGGAGAAGAGCTACACAGCTTTTCCCACAAGCACATTGTGAAAAGTGTGGACTTCTCCAGTGACAGCAAATACCTTCTCACTGGCAGCAACGAAAAACTACTACGTATATTTGATCTGGAGAAACCTGATGCTGGTACGTTTAACCTTTTGGACTTAAGTGCTGGCTTTAGCTTGACTTACTTTACCTTTCTATGCACGAAGTGCATGCTTCTGGGTACTGTGGTGCACGTCTAACAGTTGATGCTTATGAACTCAGGTTTATTAATGTAAATTTAAGGGGACAGGGCTCGAAAAGCTAATTTCTCCCAGACACATTAACTATCGATGTTTCTTTCTACATTCCTCTTTTGGTGCAAGACTTTTTAACCATAACTCAAAAACAAGGTGTTGCTATACGGCGATGAGCAATGCAGTGCTACTGTTTCAATTTGTAATGTGTTATTATTGATTGTTATGCATGTCATTGTAAAACTTCTCCCTACAAGGATAAATAGACTTGTGTTTTTGCTCTTTTTGTCATCTTTCGTTCACTCCCCATTTTTTTGTCTGGGCTTTTTCTCACTTAACCTAATGCTGAAGATGAACATTATAACAAAAGTTTTATAATGACATCATGTACCATACATATAATGATATTAACATGTGCATGTTTTCTTTGTTTCAGAGCCTAAACAGTTTGCGGGCCACACTTCCAACATCAGGGCTGTGCATTTCAACAAGGAGTGTACCCGAGTTCTGAGTGCTAGTGATGATAAGACCTTGAGGTAAAAATGTAAACCTGCTTTCCTTCCTCCTTCTCCTCCCCATCCTGCCCCTCCTGTTTCTCTGTGCAATTGTTACAATTGATTTGTTTGTAGCATTGTACTTTTTCTTTTATTTCTAGTGTTCCACGCGGATGGGGAAAACTTGATGAAAAGATTGGGTTTACTGTTGACTCATATATATGGTAAAGGATAGTTGAAGAGATGTTATTAGAGTAGTTACTTACGACAGGCCAGCTGTACTCCATTGTGCTGAACCTTTTACAAGAGTCTCTACTGGATGAGGTTTAAACAAATACAGTCGAACCTGCCTTAACGGAAACCTGTGTAAAACGGAAACCTGTGTAAAACGGAATCTCCCCGCTCCCCCCTTGATATATTCCTCTTTAATTACCTGTATAAAACGGAAACCTGTCCAACGCAGAAACGGAAAGAAAGATCCGCTCCCTTCCGAGGGTTTCACCTGTCTAAGACGGAAAATGCTTTGCCCACTCAGCCCTGATTTGAAACGAAACTCGCAAGTTTGGTTCCGACGGCTCTGAACTTAACGCCATGGCCATGCCGCTGAGCGAGGAAGGGGAATAGGGGTGCAATTTGGGGGTAGATGTTACCCCATCATGTGAGCCCTGAGCGATGCAGATGGTCAGTGTAGTGTGGGTGTGAAATCTCACGACTGCCCGTGAGAGTGCTCGAGTAGCGAGCCACTACGGAAACTTTCCTTGGTAGTTCTAAGCTCCTTGTTGGTAGCCAGAAGCCAGAGGTGTGAAATTAGATTGACCAATGCCTGCCGCCCTGATCATACGACCAGCCAAGAAAAGAGTTCCTCGAATCGTTGTTACAACGATGGCAGTGAGGGGAGGCATTGGTGGGTGGGGCTAAGGGTGGAAGCAAATGAGATGTTCAAACCTTTCTGTCCAAACTTTTCTGTTTTTAATAGGTCAAACAGTGGTCCTATGAAAGGCAAGCACTGGTGGTAATTGGATAAGTAAGACTGACGCATGTCATTATCAGACAGGATAGCAGCTGAGAGGTGTGAAGTTTTGACCACTGCTTGCCGATCGGACAAGCGATCCTTGATCCCACTGGCTGGACCTTTGACCCCCGCCCTACATTCCCCTGTCTAAGACGGAATTTTTTCCCCACTCCCTTGCGATTCCGTCTTACACAGGTTCGACTGTAGTTTGAAGTCATGAGGAGCAAACATATGTATTATATGAACTAAAACTCTTTGAGATAGAATTTCTAGATAAAGTGCTGATAGTAGGAATAATGTTTTTTATGGAAGTCCTTCCCTCAACTAGCTGTTCTTCTGTGACACAAAGTTTTGGCTGAAAGCAGGTGCCAGCGTGTTGGAAATGAAATGAGGAAAGCTTCAGAGATTTTTTAAATTAGTGTCTGGTTTTACAAATTCTGTCTGTTAAAAGAGCAGTCTATTGTAACTGGTTAAATGAAACTTTAAATGACATTCAGAACCACTGTTTAGTTCGAGAGAATTAATTTTTTGAACAAGGGTATTAACAGTAAGAATAAATTGTGAATTGCATAGAGCTTTCCTTGGAGCAGTTATATGCCCTCTATATATATATATGCTTTCTCATGTTATAATCATTATTATTTTGCTCTATAACATTACTCTAAAGAGAGGACAGACTCGGGTCGGCATCTGTAGTGTAATGTAAGGCTCTTAGCCATTGAACACAGATGTTCCTTCAAATCCAACTAGGGGTAGTTTTTTTAATTGAGTATTTAATTCTGTCTGTAATAAAATTGTTAATTGTTTCCCGCTCTGTTTAGATTGGCCCAGACAGTGACAAGCAGACCCCTCCCAAATGATCTAACTCTGGATGATGAGATCCAAAAACATTAACAATTATTGACCATCATTACACACCCAGAACTCTACCTTTGCTAATTTACTGTTTTCTCATTTTGCTTCTACCAGGGTTTGGGATGTGAACAACTGTCAAGAGATTCACTGCATCGAGGTTCCTTCGTCTCCCGGTAGCCTGGAACTCACATCAGATGGAACCATCTTCACCATCACATACGGCAATTTCACGGCTTTCTACAACGCTGAAACGTGAGTTGTCTTTGCTTGGGTATTATTTACTACAAAAAGTTTGGGAGAAAGACATTCGTTCAAATACACAATAAACCATAAACCATTAAACCCTGTCTCCTTGAGTCTGCAGTACTCATGCACCTATGCTCCTGTTTGACTGCATAATATACACCTGCATATTAACGGCTTAATATTTGAAAAGTGACGTATGACTCTTACACTAAACAGTCGATATACTCAGGCATCTGTTCGCTGCGCAGAAGTGTAATGGTAGTCACACTCTGGCATGGGCTAGGGCCATTGGGCCTCTTTTGTTTAATCTATAATTATTTTTCAGCATTCCAATAAAATTTATTCTCATTTAAACTAAATCCAATCATTTACTTGGTTCGCCAAGAAGAGATACAGAACCAAAGAAAAGTTGTCTTCACTTTATTGTCTGTTGGCAGAGGTCTCAGTTTGCCTAGGTAGGTACTGTTTCAGCTCCTTCAGCATGTGTAATAGCGCAATACTCAGTTTACATTTATTTGAGACTATATCTTTACAGGGGATTAAGGGCTTCATTGGTACATGCTACTTCTTTTGTGTCCCTCTTTTGTTTCTGTCTGTCTGTCTGTCTGTCCGTCTTTCTTTTACCCAGCACCAAATGGCTGTTACAATGTTGGCATGCTTCTTTTTTCTCGAACTAAACCAAGCGAAACACAGCTGTTGTCATGCAGACTCGCTATCTCGTGCGACTCAACAAATTTATATTTTTTAAAATAAGTTTTTTTTTGGTCTCTTCCCTCAGTTTCGAGAAGATCAAAGAGATTAAAGCTCCGGCTCCGGTGAACACCGCTTCCCTCCATCCATCTAAAAACTTCTTTGTTTGTGGCGGAGAGGACTTCAAGATGTACAAGTTTGATTATTTTACAGGAGCTGAGATTGGTAAGTCACGATCACAACTTGCTGATACTTCCAGTGCTTTGTTAGAGACTGCAGACTTGATTTACCTTGCACAGGTATATGTTTCTGTGTTTTGGATAGGCTGATTCTCATGCATATCTGCTGCTGGTTTTATGGTGCTCAGTTCAAGGTTGATTCCTTCTATAGGACAAGGGTCTCTCTTGGTTGTGCTAGATCATTTCATGGTCAATTTGATGGGTTGAAATTGGTGGTGGGAGAGGCTAGATACCAGATTTATTTTATGGAGACAAAATAGAGATGCGATGTATTAAAATGAAAACAGAAGAATGAAGTTTAGGAAGATGGTTTTTTTTTTTTTTTTTGTAAGTGTTTTTACAGCGCTCGCAACTGCATAGGGTCATATGAGTGCGTGAGACACATTAAACTTTTTCAGTTGGTAGGAAATTTTGAATTTTGCCCAGGTGGCGACCGAAGCCTACTCTTATCGATTTTAGACCACCAAGGGATCTTTAACGTGCGCAACTTGCACACGGGCCCTCCGAGATTTTTCGCCCTTGTCCGAGAAGGCTAGGTGTAGATCTTTCCTACCAGAAGATCAGGGGTGTGGCTGAAAGACAGCAGTAAGAAGAAGCCAAGGAGTAGCAGTAGAAAAGCTGTAGAAAGAATCAGGAGTAGGAAGATGTGTGTCAGAGAATATGAAATATTAAGAAGAATGGGGCAGGTATTGGTCTGTTTTGCGAAGGAGATAATACTGTAGCCATAATTGCTCATAGATTGGTACGTTTTACTTCTTTCCTGTCTCACTATTATTTACTTCCTGTTACCTTGTCTTTCTTACCAACCCCTGAGTGAGCCAACTTTGCTTTTGGCAGAAGTAACCCATGTCTCAAGTAACCAGCCTCTCTCTGTGCCGTCTTCCACCATTAACAATTGCAACACACCAGTCTGGCATAATATGGAAACCCTTACAGCATGCAAAGAGTAAAATGGATTGTCCTCATAAGAATTTGTTCTCTCTTCTCTTTGAAGTGTCCTCAATATCTTTCAAATGTTATTTTGCTTCGTGCTCTTCTACGTGAAAAAAGAATTATTCTTACTAAGAGCTGTACTGACCCCATTTCAATGATGGATAGATGGAGGATGCCACTAATAGACACATCTCCTTTCTTTCCCTCTGTTGTTTCTGTCTGTCTTACTCTTTCCCTTCCCAAAATGGCCGCTAATTTATGAATCTGCTTCTCTTTGTTTTGACAAATGAAACCCTTATGATTGGCCCTTAGAATTCTGCACATGCCATTTCACTGGGTGCTCTTTTCCCTGATAACCTTTTGTCCTTACTAAGAAACTGTACTCATCCCATTTTAATGTTGGGTTGTTGGAGGGCACCATTGGTAGGTCTCTACTTCTTTTCTTTCCTCCTGTCATTTCTTTCTGCGTGTCTTACTTTTTCTCTACACTAAATGACCACTATTGTACTGATGTGCTTCTTTTGGCTCAAAACAAAACAACACACTTTTGATGATTTATGTATTCCCAGAGTCCTTCAAAGGTCATTTTGGCCCGGTGCACTGCGTGCGTTTCTCACCTGATGGGGAGCTCTATGCCAGTGGCAGTGAGGATGGTACTTTGCGTCTGTGGCAGACAACAGTTGGAACCACTTACGGCCTCTGGAAGTGTGTGGCTCCGGACATCGAAGCGGGGGACACCTCCACCTCGTCCTCCTCCTCCTCTGTCACCACCACCACCTCCACCACTACATCGTCCTCTGCAACTGCTGTCAAAGTGGAGTCTTGATAGATGTGTGGGATTGTCTAGTGAACAGTGCCAGATATTATTATTTCCACCTGGATTATGATAAAGATGAGCAAATCACTTGACAAGTGGTGATTCAGAACAGAAAAAGGAAAGACCCATAGGGTTCTGTGGTGCTGCCCATAACGGTTCTTATGGTCTTTAAGAGAGGGTAAACAGCAGAGATCTGTGAGTGTATAGTGGATCACTTAACACCGGCATGAGTCAAAATCATGAAATGTTTTCGGTTTGAAAACTGATATTTTTTTCATATTATACTTCACAATTTTTTGTGATAAACTTTGTGCCTGAAAAAAAAGTTATTTAAGATTCATTAGCATTTTTCTATTGATTCAAAAACAAAATACAAGAGAATGAGATAATTTGAAATAGAGATCCAGCTTTGTTCGGTTTTAGAAGGATTTTTTTTTCTGTTACTTATTTTTAAAAAGTCTAACTCAAAATCAGGTGGTTCCTGACTGAATTCTATCATACTGGACAGTGGTCTAGAACACAAACAGTACTTAACTCTTAATCTACAAGACTGCTTATTTCTTGCAAAACTGCCACTGAAAGAGAAAAATAAGCAATTGAAAAAGTGAAACGAAAGAATGAATTTGGTGTCGGTTATTTAGCAAAATCTGTCAGAAGAGTGAAATGAATAAAGCGATCAGTCTTGTCAGATATAGTGTGTCCTTTACAGACTAATGTTATGGTTTGTACTGCCTTACTGATGACCTGTCTGGGTGTAGAACACAGTGTAAAGATGATGGTGGTGGCTTCTTCATGTGTTTCTTTGTCTTGTGTTTGTATGGATGTGTGTGTGTGTGTGTATCTTTGATTAAGCTTCTCACTATTCTCAGTACTTGTTGACATCTCAGTACTTGTTGACAGAGTGGCTGAGAAACAGTGCCACTGTACTGGAAAAGTCCAAAATGATATTTAGGATGTGTGACTAAATAAGTTATGTCTAATGTTTGAGTTTCCTTTTACTTACTTTTTAGATCACTATCTGAGTCTTTAATCTTTACTACTGAACAATGCTTGGTTTAAAAATGTTCTGTAACCAGTGTTTTTCTTCTGATTTGATTCAGTGTTTTCTTCAACTGCATACAGTTGATGAACCAAACAATTAGATTTGTCTACATTGTAACTGTTTAGTTTATAAACCTAACAAAACTGTCTTTGTTACAGAGACCATAGATTTTTTCTCCTTTGCCAAGTGAGTCCAGAACAAAAGTAGTTGCAAACTATTTCCCTTGTCATAGTTTTTACCTCCAGACTGAGTTTCTTGACTTTTTGTGTCGAGAGGATTAGAAAAATACTCTTGTAAATATACTCTGAAGTTTTCTGAAACTGAAATTGAAGGGGGAAACATTTTTTGGGGAGAAAATTAAATCAGTTGTGGAGCCAATACTTTCAAATGAATTATTTTCAAAATTGGTGCTATCTTATCTTTTGTTCACCCTCATCTTTCATTTTGAAAACAAAAGCATCTTGATCTGCTAACCAAACATGTAGTATTTCCCTGAAATGGCTGAGGTTTTGTAAATTACTCCCTGTGTGGTTTTTATTTCTTGAGTCAAGATAGGCCTACTATTTCTACTTTTAGAAAGGGGATGGTCAGAAAATGTTCCCCAGGGCAGAGCTCTTGAATTGTGACTGTATTGCTTGATGCTGGACAAATAACCACTGAAAAGTTTGAGAGAAAAAAATTCATTATCGTGCTTGTATTGTCAGATCACTGTTTCCTTGCCTTCTGTTCTTGTCTCAAATGGACGTGGAATTTAATTTAGACACTAACAAGATACATTTTGGTGCACAACTCAATGATCAGTCGTTGAGTGTGTTCCTAACTGTTCACAGTAATGTCCATACAAGCATAGAGGTTACTCAAAACTTAAGTGTCATTAACGCTTTAGACCCTGGCCGTGGGTGGTTGGTGGGTTCTCTGGTGTGGCTTGCTCCTTCTTTCCTATCCAACTTCTATCCTCCTTATCTCTACTTCTTTTTTTGTGTTTGTTACTCTCTTGTAATGTCTCTAATCTGCTTCACTTATATGACCTAATTGTGTTGCAAGTGCTGTCAAACTCTTACTGCAACCAAAAAACAAAAACCCTTGCCCGCTGAGCCTACAGGATCCGCACACTTGTGCCCCCATGGGTCAAATGCTAAATGTACGGCACTGCACGCTGAGGTGTGTGTGTGTTTGGTGCACAGAGAGTAAAGGTAGCGTACGCTCTTGTGCTATAGAGTCAACAAGTCATTCTTAACTTGATGCATTGTCTTGCCTATACAGTATGTCCCATCATGTTTTGTTCTGGATCTGAGTGTGAGTACACAACAGCCTCCTCTGTTTTGTGAGCGAAGAGCATGGAATCTTTATTATTCTAACATACCTGCCTTTATTTCGTTAATACGTGCAAGTCTGTTTCAGTGGCATGGACATGTGTTCCTTTTTTTGTTTGTATTTAACTCTATTGTCGTACCGTTCTCTTGAGGTGATTGTTTCAACTGAACTGAGCTTGTCAACTGTTTATTTCAATGCTCACAGTAAGAATAAATATGATCAAAAAGTTACAATTGCAAGGTTTGTTCTATGTAATTCTTCTATTATGAGTTTATTATCAATGTGTAGCTTGTGGCTGGGGGAGTGGATGGGTGGCTTGAGGGCACTACTCCTTCTTACTTTCTTTCTGTTGTCATTTTTGTCTGGAGCTGTGTGTTGTTTTTCCTGACACAAGGTGACAGTGTTTGGGTCACTGTGCTTCTCTTTTGTTACACTGGAATTCATTTTTCAACATGAAGCATGTGTCAGGGGGAGACACTGGCTTGACATATTTGTGTTGAGTTTTATATCGTTATGTACAAACATTGCTCAGCTAACAACTATGTGGAGAAAATTGGGGAGTGGCCTGGTTTCAGGGCTAAAATTAACAAGATGATGGCTGCCAAAGTTTGGTGTCTTCCAAAGCTTTAAAGTCCTTGTAAATTGAAAGTTAACATTTTCTGTGTTTCAGTAAAAATCCACCAAAAACTTATTTTGTTACCTGTCCCCGTGGTTTTATGCACCCCGCATAATTTAGCGAAATTTGATCATTTTTTGCCTAATTAAATTTCTGATTATTTTCCTTTATCATTCTTTCTTAAAATTAACAGAATTGCATAATTTCACTTTTTTGGGCTCAGTTTGCATAATTTCATAATTTTTTTGCATGAAACGAAGGGGTCAGATTGACATATTAAAGGTGTTAAGCCAAAAAATAAAAATTTGACAAAACGTGCCAACAGGAAGAAAAATGCTGTTTTCTTCAATTTTACTATTTTAACAAGCGCCTGATTTCACCACGATAGATTCGATTTTTTTTTCTTAATAATGTATGTTGTATGTGTGGATTCAAACTCCTAGTCTTCTTTGAAAGACAGATGTTTTTAAGGACATCCAGACCCTTTAGTAAGTGTATAGGTTTAACGCCTCTATCAACACTATTACTATTAGTAGGTTATTTAAGAGGCGGGACCTCCAAATGCAACGTCGGTCTCTGATAGGACCGAAATCAAATAAGTTGAGAGCCTTGAAAACTCCACAAAACGACAGGGATTCAAGAACGCCTAGTCTGGGATTCGAACCAGGGCCATCCGCTCCCTTGTCCAGCCCAGTACCATCTGAGCTAAGAGCACCCTTCCAGGCCTCTGGGAGTCCGAGAAAAGCAAATCAGCGAAAGCACATGGTCGTCATCTTTTACAATGCTTAAACTTTTACTGTAATTTAAAAACTATGTACTCACACACACACACACACACACACACACACACACACACACACACACACACACAAACTCCTTCACTCCTACCCGTGCTCTCATATTCACACACGCAAAAACATAATCACATTCACTCGCACAAAAACGCTCATTCACACACACACCCTCCCCCACACACGCACACACATGCGCAAACACACAAATACACGCACGCACACACTCGTACACACACACACAGAAGTGAATAATCAGATAATCAGAGTACCATATTCTTACATTTCAGTTTAATGTTGCCTGCCTTTCGTCCAATTAGTTCTTGAAAGTGGACATATATATATATATATATACATTGTATATATATATAATCAATTATAAGCTTAATACTAATACATAATATTATTTATAAATATGTGTAATATATGCCTCTAATTTTCTACACTTATGTGACCTATTTGAGTTGCAACCGTGAAAATTTACGTGAAAAAATAAAAACTAAAGCTTCTAAGATACAAGTACGTGACCAAAAAAAAATTTATTTGTGTAAATGGTATGTTACTGTTTCATTATGGGTTGAAATTACTGAACAGGCACAACGTACTTTGGGTGAAAAGAAGCACGATATTAAATAATCAATGTGCTATGTTATGGTGGCCAGAGTATGCTATGTTATGGTGTAGCGGTTAGGCGCTTCGCTGTCACACAAAGGAGACCTAAGTTCGATTCCCAAGTGGGGAGAAGATTTTTATCGAGTATTTCGGTCTTTCTGCAAGGATGTATCCCTGTCAGCCGGGGTTGGCCTTGACAGGCAGGATCAGAATTCCTCCTAAGTTATCTAAATTGCATCAATTGTGCCGTAAAAACACCTACCAGTACCTCAAAAAATGTTTGTTCTTTTTTCTGTGTGTGTCATAGTTATTGTCTCCGCTGTTGCATGCAAAAAGTGTAAGTTCGATTCCTGTAATTGGAAGTTAGTTTGTTGAGTATCTTCATTTGTCTGCGGAATTGCTCAACCTTCATTGACCCTGACCTGTCAGGTCGAAGTAGCCTGAATTCTAAATAATTCAAATTGCATTGATGAGGGCGTAATATTATCTTCGCGTAAATGGCAAGTTTCAAACCGATATGCCTCATTTAACCGTTTATGTTATTGTCTGTCCCGCAACAGCTGGGCTCTCGCCCTTTCTTCCAATGTCGTGTAGTGACAAGAGCAAGTTTGCTGCAGTTACTAATGTTTCATAGTCTGTGTTAGGTCTCGCAGAGAGAAGTGTAGCTCTGATGATAGGGCTGTGCAGTGGAACAGGTATTGATCCACAGTTTTTTAAAGAATAATATGCATAGTCACGCAAAGGACACGTTGGGGGAAGTTCCGGATATATCCTGTTCAAGTGGAAATTGTGCCGTAGTATAATGTTCGCAGGCGGTAGTTCGTGGTTTGTTCCTTTCTCTAGAATCTTGGTGGTTAATAATGTCATTTCCTTTCTTTGTACTCAAATGTTTGATGGTCTTTTTGTCTTTCCCAAGATTCGGTCTGTTTAGCTAATACTGTTTGTTGTTGCTTTTACTGTTTTATTTGCTGTGTTGAATGAAGTTGGATTGTTGGTCTGTTCTTGTTTAGATCCCCTTTTGGCAAGTGTGTCTGCTCTGTCATTTACAGGTGTGTTTGAATGTCCGTGAATCCACTGCATCACCGGGTTGGCGCCGTAGGATGTTACATCGTGGTGGGAGCCAAACAGTATGTGCCAAAACCTTGTTTAGGTGATGGTTATTTCCTTCTGCTAACAGGGAGTCAAAGAAATTACAATAGTTTTTGTTTTGTCTGGACGAGTGTCAAAAACTGTGCGAAGATATTACTGTGCTATTTCAGTTTCCATCATTTCTGCATCAGAGTTGCTGCATTTCTCTCTACGGGCTGCAGAGATCTCCTTGGAACTTCCATCTGGGTATTGTATAATATAAACGTATTCCATATCCGGCTTTGGTTGTGCTTTTGAAAGCTGAACCGTAGTACGTGTATCCATTCATCTGAATAGCTGTTGCTGTTGATCGTTTGATGTGATGCAATCGTCAGCGTCACTGGATCTGAAGATTCTGTGCTTTTGTTTTATTTTTATTTTTAAAGAAATGTGGAGAGGGATGTTTTGGTTGACTCTTTTGGTTTCCTTCCTGTTTTGTGGCAGATGATGACTTTCCGATATTTAATTTCTGTGATGTGATGCCTGATTGATTTCTGTTGAACTCGTTTCTTTGGTTGCCATGCTCATACATTTGTACTCATATTCTGTTTGGGTAGTTGGGGCACATTCTTTTGGTTCTTTCATTGAGCTCCAAAACTGCTATATTTTTGGGCTTTGAGGATTCCCATGAGTTCCACCTTTGAAAGAATTTCACAAGCAGCAGTAGGCGTGGATCTCATACCATCTTATATGAAACGAAGGGCATTATTTTTTTTAAACCTTGTCTAGGGTGTTGCTAGTGGTTACACTGCACATAGTAAGTAAGCTATTGCTACGTTCCAAGGAAGATCAGACGTTACCAAGGTAAAGAGCTCACAAAGTTTGTCTGATCCTTATGAACTGTTTGCGAATTTCTTTAAAAGTTGGCGTCTTCTTTTCGTCTTGTTCTTTATGGTCTACACTTGGCTTTTCGTGGTTAGACTGTGGTTAAGCTCGACTCCTAGGTATGTTGGCTGTTGTTTTTTCTGGGGGTTTTCATTTCTTATCTTCAACTCGAGTTTTTGTTTGGCTGTTTAATTTATGACTCCTTTGAAAGATTGTGTATACTGTGTTGGTGCAATTTATTATAAGCTTCCCTTTCTGACTGTAATTGTGGAGCCTCTTGGGGTCTTGATTTCATTTCCCTGCTCCCACAACCGTGCTGTGATGTGTCTGCCAGAAAGCAAAATTATCAGCTTAGAGAGTCGTTTCGGATTTCAGCACGACAGTTACATAATTGAAGAAGATCAATAGTGCAACTCAGATATGAACATTGGGATGGGCCTTCCTCGAGTATTTTTCTTGACGAAGAGGCATTACTCACCTTGTTTTGATCTGCAAGGAAAATTTGATCCATAAATTTATAATATTTTTATAAAGTTTGTCGTGTATCCCGAGGTCCATCATTTTCATGAGTAGTCTAGGCCTTTTCTCCATCTTCGTACGACTGTTGGGGATAAACAAAGATGGCGACAGCAGTGAGTTTTGTCTCCTGAAAGTCATCCTAGATGTCTTGAGTTAGCTTGAAAAGCTGGTCTTTTTTGTTGCTGCATTTTTCTTGCAGAAGCAACTGCAACAGGACAACCACAACAGCACTCGATAGGCTTTTATATGTGACACATTATATTATTATTATTATAATGCATACTATTTGGCCTACAGTAACTATTAGGCCAATATAAATGTGTATTAGTTGATGGTAGACATACTGATGATGATAATAATGCTTACGCCCTGCACACAACCTGTAGGCCTACTAACGAGCGTTGTTTCACATTATGTTTTGTATCCTATGGCCATTCCTTCACATTATGTGCTCTCGCGCGCGCACGCACGCACACGTGCGTGTGTGTCTGTGTGTAGTGTGTGTCTGCTTGTTTGTTTTAGTAAGGTTTTACGGCGCTCACAATGGCATATGGTTATATATGAGTGCCAAGGGGCGAATGTCAACAAAGAAGTCCAAACGTGGAATCAGGCTTTCTCTGCTCACCTTTCAAGCCTCAACAGCACAAAGTCTGCTTTTACTATCAAGGCACCTCGGAAACAGCAGTTCACAAGAGAGTGACAAACATACGAAAGAAGTAAAGGGAAAATAACGACAGTAAGGATGATGAGGGAAAAAAACCCAGCAGTTCCCCGTATATGTTGCTCCGGCGCAATATGATGAGCATACTTCCTTTTCTTACTTTATCCGTCCTCATGTACCCCAAGAGCGTCGGGGGGAGAAAGAGCTCCCTGTCTCGAGCAAGTTTGATGGCCTTGCTGATTGGACGATATTGTATGTTCTCAGGGTACCCTTCACACCCTGGATCCATGGCAGGTCTCTCCTGGTCTTCATCTTGCCTTGTACCCTAATACTTTTCTGTAGTAGTAGTAGGCTTTACTGGTGATGCACCATACGTGTGAGATGTCTAAACCACCTGATTGTTCGCCTTCGAATGTAGTGGAGGACTGGTGTTGTTCCCATCACTTCTCTGATCTTGTTGTTTTTTTACCAAGTTCCGTCCGGTTTTGTTGGCGGTTCTCCGTATGATGACATTGACAAATCAGCCCATTTACAATTCTACTCTCCATAAGAACATTTTAATAGCATCGCTTTGGAAATGGCCGGAAGACAACTTCAGTCAGTAGCACTGTCCTGGTGGGGAGTGTATGGCTGTGTTTGTGTGTATACATGAATACATGTGTGCCTAGGTGTGTGCGTATCAGATAGATAGGTAGAAGGAAAGAAGGAAAACACGGAGAGAGACAGAGAGAGAGAGAGAGAGAGAGAGAGAGAGAGAGAGAGAGAGAGAGAGAGAGAGAATATGTGTGTGTGTGTGTGTGTGTGTGTGTGTAGGCTATGTATGTATGTGTATTGTGCGTGCATGTGTGTATGCGCGCGTGTGACCCTTTTGGGCTATTATAAGTGTTGGAGTATTCGTTTCATCTCCGTTAGAATGACATTCTTACCTACTTTACTTTTATCCGCCGTTATACCTTTTTGGGTGTCACGGGAAGAAAGAGACGTCTCTCTAGCTGTCGCCAGCCGGAGAGCTTGGGTCAGGGGGATGCCGTGGGTTGTTAATGTTTCCCTTACTCCATCTGCTATCCTGGTCTTTCTCGGCTGCCCTCTATCCTTGTTGCCATCGAATTTGTGGATGTAGGCACATTGTGCTGGATGGTGTGTTGGTAATCGTAGGAGATGTCCGAACCATTTGATTCTTTGGTGTTGGATGTGATGTATGACATCATTTGTGCCCACCATTTCTCGGATTACTGAGTTTCTAATCTTGTCTTGCCTGGTCTTGCTTACTGCTTTTCTAAGGCATCACATTTCACGTGTTGTAATTCTTTGCTCTAATGTCTTGTTCGTGGTCCATGTTTTGTATTGATAAGTGAGTGTTGGGATGAATATGGTGTTGATCATTTTGAGTTTTGTTGTCATGGCCATGTTAGGATGTTCCAGTAGTGGAGTAAGCTGGTGACTAACATTATCGGCCTTTTGTACTAGTGTTTCAATTTGTATGTTCAGTCGTCCATCCTCTGTGAATTATACTTCCGAGGTACTTAAATTCTTAGACCTGTCAGAGACTGTTGTTGTTGATGTGTATCCTGAGTGGTTCTGGCTTTCTGCTTACTTTAATTGTCTCTGTTTTCTTGATGTTGATCTTCTTGTCTTAGTTGTTACATTCTTCGTTTAATCTGGTGGTGTGGTGTTGGAGACTTTGTTCATCTTTGTGTGCCAGGCTTTGGTCATCAGCGAAGAGTAATTAAATTCATTTTGGGCGTCTGGCTCTGTGTTGGCCTCTTTTGTAATTCTATCCATATGATAAATAATAGTGGCGATAGGACACACCTTGTCTTTCTCCGCATGTTATCTCGAACCATTCTGTGAGTACCTCTGACGTTCTTACTGTACTTAGGCTGTTCTCGTAAATAGCACGGGTGTTATCTAGAAGTTGGCCTCTTACACTACAGTGTGCTTTTTGAGTTCTTTCCACAGCTTGTTTCTGTTCACTCTGCCGAACGCTTTCTCCTGGTCGATAAATATTAGTATTTTTTATTACTACTTTAGCATATCTGGTTACATAATAAATTCGAGTTAAGGAAAAAATCTAAATGTAAATGATTGAATTAATTGTATACCTTCATCATCACAATAGTATTAGATCTATGTATACCAATACAACATGTAGATTTTTTATCTATTGAACGAAGCTAATGAAATTTTTTAAAATCGAAATAAATTATGAACGACGAAATTCAAGATCATAGGTCAAAGACCAAAGGTTATAAACGTTAAAAACAAAGAAGAGCCTGCTTAGAGTGCTTGCTTCTATTATTTATTTTACGTGAACAAGAACTTTCATTTTCAAACTGTTTGGCAGGACGACACGAACTAGTCGTTGGCCAGACTACTTTATGCATCGTCCATCAGCGTCAGAACAGCGTAGAACGCACAGAGAAGCTGTTGATGAGATCATAACTTTAATAAATTCAACTGTATTTTGTATCACAGTCGACGCCGGCACACTCTGTCCGCTGCTTCTTGAGGTGTTGTATTAATCTAGTATAGATCTAGACTAGATCTAGACTAGTAGTACAGTTGAATACTGTATTACATATTTTAACACACAACTCCTATTAGCCCACATCAAACAAATATACACATCAATATTGTCAATAACAATGACACCTGTCGTAGACGGCCACCTCCTTTATGTTTTGTCATAAATTGTAAGATTGAAGAATACCGGACCAGCGGACGGACTTTGCCTAGATTAGATATTCTATGTCTCAACCTTAGGAATTCATAATTTCCCCGTTTTTAATATCTCTGAAATGAAGAATCTCGGACCGGTAGATCTATTCATTAAAATTTCGAAGTGACTATTTCTGCGAACGTTCGGAGAAATAGTGCCGATCTTTATTTCTCCTAACGGTTTCCGGCTTCCGGTCTCGTGATTTTTTGCCTATTTATTGCGAGAGTTCGGCGCCAACTTTCATTCTGCCTCTGGCTCTGATCTGGGAAGGAACACCACATGGCAAGCCCGCCTACATACAACCTTCAGTAACACCCACCACCATCCTGCACATGTACACACACAAACTTATACACACACTAACTAAACATGATCAGTGGGCAACTTTTGAACGTATGACGAGCTGAGTTGTGGATGGAGAGACAGTGTGAGTGACAGAGCGGGTGAAAGGAAGAATTAACGAGTGTATCCACAGGCGACAGCAACTACAAGACGCCGACACCGACCCCCCTGGCCCGGTCCACAGCTCACGAACGAAAGGAATGTTGCTAAGGCAGTGTTTTACCTATATTATTGTCCATGGTTCGCAGGGAGCAAGGGAATGAGTGAGATTTTCTTTGTGTGCGCCTGGAGGGAGGGGGTGGGGTGTGAAAGTCATGAGAACGGGCATGAGCCGCGGGAGAGAACACGGGAATTGAATGAATGAGTGAAACTGAAAGAGAGGAACGACTCATGAGCACTGGAGTGAATGTATCCTGTTTTTTATCTTTGTATACTTTGAACTGTTACTGAATAAAGGCTGAAATAAAGCCCGAAAAACACACACACACTCACTCCTCACTCTCCACTTACACACTTACTACCACACACAGACACACTCACACATGCACATGCCTAGACACACACACACACACACACACACACACACACACACACACACACACACACAGGAGCAAATTTTTGGGTCTATCTATTTCAATTTTCAAGAGCTAGTCTAGAGATTTTTAGATGAGTGTAAAAATGTGAAAAAGAAAGGTTTCACAACAGAATTAAATCAAAATTAGTCGAACAGCCCATAAACAACCACAAAAATTAACAGATAAGGGTGTGTGAAAACCTAGAACCCATAAAAGTGCGTAAATTATTTTTTTTTTAAAGTACAGGATATTACATGTAAATTAAGGAATCACACACATTAAGGGGCCTGCCAGTGTCAGTACATGTAATCGGTTTTGGTGGAACGTACGCTCTAACATAAAAATAAAACATTTAAATCTATATATATACATGTATATATATATATATAGAATCTAATGAAGGTAGGTACTAGGAACATCAAATTAAATGACGTTACGCTATGCAACGTCCCCCCCTTTCCCCAACAAAAAAAAATTGATAGAAAAACAACACATCAGAACAATAACAAGAAAAAAAGTTACACTAACAAAATAAAACACCACAAAGAGTCAAAGAGGGAAAAATAAAAGTAACTGTAACGTATATTTCAAATCAACGTGGTGACAACAAGTGAGAAAGAGACTAAATGAAGCTAAGGGAACTTTCTTTCAAAAGTAAAGAGGTTCGGTTTCTTTCTTTTTTTTTCTTTTTTTTTTTTAATTTGACTTTTATTCCCCGACCAAAAAATGCAAAAAAATCGAGCCACGATTGATTGGTCGCGGCAGCGACAAACGCTGAAGCTAGTTCTATGTGTCGTTATCAATAACCCTCCGTAGATCTAGATCTAGACAGCACACGAGTGAACACAACACATTAAGTTTAAGAGCAGCACCCTTCAAAGGCAACACGTCATATCTGTAGCGAAAAACTGTTTGGAACTGTAGTATTTCTTTATATAAATATTTACTGCGGACATTTTTGGACCGATTGAACCATATTGTATACAAACAATCTTTGGTAGGTCTATACTCTATATAATATCCGAAATTTGGGGGAAAGGATGTGATTTCAGAGTGTTCGGAGAAATAGTGCCCAGCTTTATTTTCCCGAATGTTCGGAGAAATAGTGCCCAGCTTTATTTTCCCGAACGTTCGGAGAAATAGTGCCGGCCTTAAAATTTTGTCAGGGGGGAGACCCCCCTGAATCCCCCCTCCCCCTTCCTCCACCCCAACCACCCGCCCCACCTACCCCACTTTCTCGCGCAATAGTGTACGAGTGGTCCGGCAGGCTATTCTTCAATCTAACCTGTCATTGTTGTTGTTAGGTTGGCCCTCCAACCGATCATCATGTTGTGTTGAACACCTCCCGCTCAGGTTGACCAATAGGTAACTAATTTACAGCTGCTGGTGAAGTAAGCGTGTGATTCCTCATATACAGTGGCAGATCCAAGCCCCACCCAGAACTCATACGCAAGTCGTAGTGAGATGAATGGTCACTGTTTACCCTGTCTGTAATTGTAACAAAGCAACAATGGACGTCGACATGAACTTGCGACAGAGGTGTTGATCGTTCTCCAAGTGGTGGTGACCCATGTGTTTGTTTTGGCATTGCATTTGGTCTTACTTATCTGACACATTTTGTTTTATTGTCACCCTTGCGCAAAACCAACAAAATAACAAAAGCCCAAACCTAACAAAAACAACAATGCGGCTACCTTCGGTTGGAACCTCAGAAGGGAATGGTTTGTTTTAGTCCTTCATCTGGATTAGTCCTGCCTAAGACGGCCACCTGTCTTATACGGCCCCTTGTGTCCTTGACAATGGGTGGCCATCTTACACAGGCTCGACTGTATTACAAATAGGTAGCCTTATCTTAGCTGTTAGCCTATTGAATTGTTTGTTCGTCTAACATTCTTAGAATCTGGGTACTCTACTACTAGATCTACTGCTACTACTAGAAAAATGTTACCATTATTATTTATTATTAAAGTAATATTATGTTCGATTTTGTTATTATGAGGAATACAGCGTCTCAGGAAACAAAGTATTATAATTCCCGGTCTCCCTCTCTGCCTTTATGATTGTTATGTAGAC